TGGAATGAATGAATAGAATGAATGAATGCACAAAGAAATGACTGACTGAATGACTCTTTCTCTCTCACGATCAGTCCTATGCTGGCTACTATGCTTGTACTTGCATTTCCATACAGGTGTATAGGTTGTTGCCATACAGATCCAGTTCTCTCCCCTGATCCTGTGATTCTTTGCATTAAACCATCCACACTCCATGTGAATTCCCCTTGCCATTCCCTTAAGCCCTGATGAAACCTTGGAAGTCATATTTTAATATTTCAGGCTCACTTTGTTCTTGGAAAGCAGTGTGGTCATGGTGGAAAAGGTGTTGGAGTCTAGAGACTTGAGTACTACCAGCTCTGTTTGCAGAGTGGCCTGCTTACATTATGTAACCTCTCCGTTTTCCACTCAGAGTAGTTTTCAAGAGCATTGAAATACAATCTACAGGGGCTCCTGGGTGGCTCAGATGGTTGAGCGTCTGCTTTCAGCTCGGGTCATGATCCCGGGGTCCTGGGATTGAGCCCCATATCGGGCTCCTGGCTCAGCGGGGAGCCTGCTTCTCCCTCTGCCTCTGCCTCTCCCCCTGCTCATGCTCTATCTCTGTGTCTCAAATGAATAAATAAGATCTTTAAAAAAAAATACAGCATACGTTTTTGTAGGCTGATGTTATAATTACTGTAATTTTTCCAGCTATGTGTTGGTGACATAACAACTCAAAACCATCAATTGCTGTTAACACTAATGTCATGCTTACTATATGCAGGCCACTATTCCAAGTGCTGTCTTGTTCAATATATATACACACACACACACACATTATTATCATCCCCATTTTGCAGATGAGGAGAGTGAGTCTCAGAGTGCTTAAGTAACTTGCCCAAGGTCCCACAACTAGTGAATGGCAAAGCTAGGATTCAAACCCACAAGCTCTCTGGAGTCCAAACTCATTTTAAATAGAAGATGATGATGGAGACCATGACCTAGCAATCAATACAACATTTAAATATCTTCCACTGAAGATTGGTAGTCACCGAACCTCTCCTCTTGTCCGAAGACTTTGGGCTGGTTCTGGTCTGGATGAATACTTAAATCATTCTAGACAGAAGTGTTCCACAAACTACCATAGATATATGTTACTATGTACTATGATCAAGCAAAGGGTCGACCTCTACCCCTCTAGCAGCCTTCTGGGACACCGTGCCATATTGTCCTTGGAGTTTTCCAAGTTCATGAGTAAATAAATACACTCTACATACCCATGGTTCTTGGGACTCTAAGCTCCCATGCTGAGGGCTTGTCTCTCTGTAAGCCTGTGTGGGGGCCTCCTTGGCAATCCACTCATGAGAATGTTAAAGAGACCCTGAAGAGGATTTGAAGCTGGAATAAGGACACACTATAACCAGAGGGAGAAAGCAATGAGAAACTGGAAAGAGTCAACCATAGCAAATTGCAGCAGATCAAATGAGCACTCCAGAGCCAAGCCCCTTGTTGTTGATGGAGAATCTGCTTATGCCTCCGATGATTGCGCTAGCTGAGTCATAAACACCAGTGTCACTTCCGACTAGAAAGGGTTCATATCCAGCTCACTATCTATCCCCAAACTTTCTCTCAACCCCTGATTACAGTTGCGCTCTCCACTGAAGTCTCAGTTTTTTGGAGGATACAAGAGTGGTCCTCATACTTTAGAAGCACTGCCTTAAACACCAGATTGCCAACAGTGAAAGGTTACTGAACAGAGAGAGCAGTTATCTTCATTTGCACAGTGCTAACAATTTCCCATTTGCCTGTCGTCACAACAAGCAAAAAATTAACTTTTCCAACTATCTTTGTTTTTTTTTTAATTTTTTTAAAAGATTTATTCATTTGAGACAGAGAGATACAGAGAGACAGAGCATGAGCAGGAGGAGAGGCAAACAGAGAGGGAGAAGCAGGCTTCCCGTTGAGCAGGGAGCCCGATGCGGGGCTCAATCCCAGGACCCTGGGATCATGACCTGAGCCAAAGGCAGACGCTTAACCACCTGAGCCACCCAGGCGCCCCTCCAAGTATCTTTGAATCCTTATATCCATTTTCTTCTGGGGACAAAAGATCAGACCTGGTATCCAGATTCTCTTTTTTTATGTTGGCATTTGTGCACTTGAACTGTGGGAGCAAGTAGTGCTCTGGTCAAGCCAGGTCCTGGCAAACCTGCCCTCGGCCTTCCAGGGAGGGTGACAGAAACATTATCACACGTTGCACTGTGGGGTCAGAAGGCATTTGGTGCAGAACCTCGTCACTGGGCTTTTCGTTTGTTTGTTTTGCTTGCTTGTCTTTATCCCTCACCCCACATGGGTCCCCTCAGAGAACCAAGCTGGATGAAACGCAAATTATTTCCTTCAAGGGGATCCAAGTGGCCTGTCCTACAAAGACCCTGCCGAGGCCTCTCTCCATCCTTCTCACTTCTGCTTGTTCTGCTCCTTCCTACTCTGTCTCCTCGGCAGCCCGGAAGCCCTGGGAGGGCAGGAATGTCTCTCTGCACCAGATCTCCGGGGTTCTCATTCTGCATCCCTCTGCCGGGAGCATGATTTTGTTTCTTCGGGAAGAAACAGGGCAACATATGTTGAATTCTTTTTAAAAAGCATGTATTGCTGAATTTGTGCTCATTATTGAAAATTTAGAAAACACAAGAAAGAACCAAAAGGAAAAACGTTGTCACCCACAATCACTGTGGCCTATTTCTTTGCAGGATTTCTGTTTCTGCATGTGTAGTATCTGGTAGCCTGTTTTCCTTGGTTAACATACTATCATAAATGTTTTCTTTTTATTTCCATATCCGTTGAGCACCTAGTATGTAGCAAGGACTGTACTGGGCCCTTCAGGTGCTTGAGCTGGGTTTTAGAGTGAAAGGGGTATTTCCAAGCAGAGAAGCAGTGGGTACGTGATTAAGGCAGGGGAGCACCAACATCATGTTACAGTGTTGTGGAGAATGTGTTTTAGGCTAATGAGAGCAGCCAAAAAGGGCACCATGACAGAAATTTGCGTCTAAATCTAGTTTCTTACAATGACCCTGCCAGAGAGGCTTACTTACCAGAGAGTTTCCAGGATTTGTGAGAATTTCCAGAAAAAGCCAAAATTGCATTCATGGATCTAGGTTCTTAAAGTGAGGATTATAACGAACTGTTTGGGGGCTGTTGTCAGCCAATCAGACTGGACACTGGGTGTGGTGTTGGAGCCCAGTCTACAGGTACCCCTGAGGCTGTACCATGACTTTGGCCCCTTTGTGGACTGATCATAGGAAGGCTGGGAGTCCTCGGGAGAGGCTGTATGGCCAGGCCCGTGGTGGGGACACTCAAGGGCTCAGGGACATGATTGTTCACCAACTGGCACATTCATGTTTCAGCGTTTTAAGAAACACACACCGTACAAGGGCATCCTGGTGACCAGACTGACCTGGAAAGCAGCTTTTCTTCTCGAGTTGCTAACATGCACTCTTAGATGTCAGCGGTCCTGCTGCCTCTGACACAAGAGCCATGGGTTGTCATCATTTGATTTTGAGCTGGAGGAGTGTGATTTGGGGCAGAAGCCAGGCAGAGGGTTTCAGAGCCAGCCCGTAGAGGGCAAGCTGTGGCTGGCTCTGCTCTCCTCCTTCCTAAAGCACCTGCCAGAAAATTGGCTCCAACCCAAGCTCACACTGAATGGTCACTCCTCCACCCATGTTCACTCAACATGGCTGAGGTCTTCAGAATCGCACAGAGCTCCATAATGGAGGAAGGCATCTCCCCGGGGATGGGGAGGTGAAGAACACACGTCCTGAACGTCCATTAGCAGCAGTGGTCACATCTCCCAGGAGGCCTCTCCTGCTGACCGCCAGCTCCGAAGTCCCATTCCCGTACCCTTTCTTTCTGCTTAAATGCAGGGACAATGTTCTCAGTTTCCTGGAATGAGAACTATGGCACTCTCCCACAATCCCAGCTTCCCTACTGATTTGCGTGAGGGGAAATTTGGGGCTGAAACAGAAATTTTCCAGCCAACCCATCAATTATTAAGCTGGGGGTTTACATGAATCATGTTCTGTCATCCTCACGGCACCCTTGTGAGGTGGATATCATCCCCATGTTACAGACGATAAAAATAGGGCTTGCTTATATGTTACGGAAGTAAGTCTGTGGATACTGAAGGGCTCAGAGTTTAACTTGCTCAAGGACACCCAGTTAATGCACAGCAGAGCTGGGGTTTGAACCCAGATGTGCAAACCATCACCCAGGCTCTCCTAGGTCTTACAGAGAGCAGCACGACGAAGAATGTGGCAGGGTCGGGGCATAAGGGGAGGACAAGAGATCTGGGAAGCAGTGCTGGGAGCAAATACTCCACACCCCCTTCCCCCAGGGTTACTTTCCTCCCAAACTGCCCACAAGTACACAAATACGGAATTCTGTAACAATAGTCATTGGTCATAATCACCTAACTCTTTATACTTGCCATGTGAACTAAGAAGATGCACGTGGATGCTCTAGCCATGGTTGAAAGAATGGGGATGTGGAACCAGAAGAGTTGGTGAATGGGAGATGGGGTGTTACCTTGTATGGGAGCAGTCACCACTCAGGTGAGCTGTTGGCCACCTCCTGCCGTGGGGTTTCCAGACTCAAGAAGGTACCTAGAGACCTCTGTGTAGCAGAGCAGGTGGGAAGGTAGAAGTTCAGAATGGGTCTCTGCCAGACCCTGGCTCTGCGATCTTCAGCCAGTTTCTTAGCTTTCCTGTATCTCAATTTCCTCATCTATAAAAAGGTCGACTCTCTCAGAGCTGTTGTGAAAATTAAATAAGATCCTGTTTGCAAAGTACTTAGCCTGGCATCTGGCACAGAGTAAATCCCTTAATAAAGAGTTATTAGCATGAAATTGCCTTCCTGCGAATTATTTTCTCACAAATTTATGGAATAATTTCTTTACTGCAAATTTACGGACTTTAAAGATTCTAACTTCAGAAAAGACATAGAAAGAAGAGATGAGACACAAGCTGTAACGTTGTCTAACTTTGTTTTTATAGGAGCCGTGGAAATTTACACTAGAGAAGGCGAGACAGATTGTGAAGAAATCCCCAACTCTGGTAAGCAACGGATGAGAAGAATCCCAGTGTTCCACTTGGCGCCTTCATCTTCCCCTTCCCCTGCTCTCACACCCCTAAGGCCAAGGCCAAGGGCTGCTCTGGATCCAAGCCCACAACATACCATAGCTGCAGTGAAGTTAAGTAGGAAAGTGAGCCCCTCCCCCTCCTTTTTCTCCTCCCTCTCTCGACAGCAGTGTTTCTCAAACTGGGCAGTACTGACATTTGGGGCTAGTTACTCTTTGGTTGTGGGCATTGTCCTGTACACTGGAAGGTATCGCAGCATCCCTGTCTTCTACCCACTAGATACCAGCAGCCGCATCGCCCTTCCCCAGTCATGGCAACCAAAAACGTCTCCTGATGTTGCCAAATGTCCTCTGGTACTCACAGGTGAGGACTGCTACTCTCTAGTAGACCATTTTGGAGGAGGCTCTATCCTCCTGCCCCTCCACTTTCTAAATATGTGACCTCAGGCTGAGCCTCGTTTTCCTGTCAGCAAGACAGAGACAGTAGTAGTGCTCCTTTGTCAAAGCATGGGTGTGAAGACCAAGAATGGATGCGTGTCAAGTGCTTACCCAGCACTCAATCAATACTATGTTTAGTTCAAATCCGTTATCACAGAGTCAAGTATTTGACTTAGGCTCTGGATGCAAATGAGCCCCAACTGAATAGGAAGCAGAAAAAGTAAACCTTCAAAGGACCAAGTCTCCCTCCATGCTAAAGATCCCAGCAATAAGGAAGGGTTCATCAGAGTTGAGAGGGCATAGCCTTCGTCCTTGGCCTCTCTCTCATCACCCTGATCATCATTCACCCTGATGCAGTACATTTAAGGTAATCTTGATTTAGCAGCACAGAAATAAGGAGAAAAAGCCCTCATGGCTCAGCTTGCCAGATTTAGCAAATAAAAATAGAGGAGACCAGTTAAATTTGAATTTCAGATAAACAATGAATAAATTTTTAGTATAAGTATGTTCAGTGCCATATTTTATCTGGCAACCCCACTTATGGAGGGGGCATATGGGTTTTGATGTACAAGGCTGGTGTGCAATGAATGGGCAATATTCAGGCATTTCTACACAATTAATCAATCACAATATCTGTGTTGCCAACCATTATTTATTTCAGTGAGTAATTCAAGACCAACAGTAGCAGGTTAGCTAATCTGCCAAAGCCATGGAGCAAGAGACTGAAACACCACGGGAAACCCTTGACCACCTTCAGAACTCTAAGCAATACTAGAGAACAATACGATTCTTCATTCTTTCTTCTCCACGTGCATCTAAAAATTTCTTCTTAGAGCATTGTTAACTCCACTAGCACAAACTGCCTTGGTATTAACTCAAAGGCTAATTAGGATTTTACAAGTTTTCATTTCTGTCATCAGAATTGCAAGCGTCATTCATGGGGCCCGATTCCACTAATTCCTTGTGAGAAGCCAAAAAAAAAAAAAATCTACCGAACAACAATACAAAACTCCTCAAAAACCTCCTCCAATTTATGTGCTCTCTAGATTAAAAATAATCAGAAAATGCAAATAAGTGTCTCTGAGTCACTGCTCAGCTGATATTGGCAGCAATTAATTCCATTGTGATGCTCTAACTGCAGACTTAGCCAGGATGCAGAAAGAAGCACACAGTAGGTTGTATATTATTTCAGCACAGCCTGTCAAACTGGAGAAAAGTGAAGTATTGTCGAAGGGAATGTTCCGGAAAATATCTGCCTCTCAGTGAGGACCTGAGAGGCTCCTCATGGATCTGGCAGAAAACTGAGCATCTAAGGGTTTAGAGTCCTTGAGTTACGGAATCATTTTACTTAATTCTCACAAAAACTCATAGAAAATAGTATATTTTTTTATCAACCCTATTTTACAGACGAGAGGACTCAAGATCAGGTATGTTAAGTAATGTGCTCATTCCCCACAGCTAGTCAGGAGAAACCCATCATTTAAATCCAGATCCAGCTACATCCGAATTCCTACCTTCTCCACTATGCCAATAGCTCTCAACCAGACCTCCTCAGCACTAAATCTCAGGAAGCACCATTCACATCACAGGCTATGTAGGTTAAAATTATGCAGAGCACGACCTGTGCAACTGTACTTGACATCCCTGATCAAAAACCTACCTACTTAATAGAATCATCTTCCCCAGTGCAATTAAACCCAAGTAAAATAATACATAGCAAGGGTTAAAAAGTACTTCACCATGCAGAAATTCAACTTTGGTTTGGCTGTGTATAGAAGAGTAGTTGTTCTCTCCCCTTTGACCTTCTATTTACCGCAGTCACCACATTTTTTCTTTATTCAACCCTTGTGTATTGTTCTGTTTTCATTTAACGTCCTGGTGTTTGGGAAAGCTCAGGATACAAGCAGAAACTGGTTCAAATAGATTGCTAAATGAAGATCCTGCATGACTCCTGTACCCAGGGACAGCCCAGATTGAGACTTTCATTTAAATGGGATTACATGCCGCCAGGCGCAATATTTTAAAAGCCATTGCTGAATCAATAACAGCCTACATTTTGCCTCTGTCTAGCAACGTTCAAATTGAAAGGAAAGGGCTGGTAAACTGCAAGGAAGGACTTCTGCAACATTACTCTCTGTCTGTCTCATTTCTCTTTGCAAGTAAATGATAAGAGGTTAGTCTTTCCCATGCTATGTGATGAAAGGACTGGATAATTAGAACCTCTGTCTGAACAGGGGGAGTTCTGCTTGGGGGGGCGGGTTGTCCCTGGGCAAGCTACATCATCTATTGTCCACACCCTAGACCCAGTTTCTGCACAGTGAACGTCAGAGACAGCCGCAGCCTTCAGTTAAATCCTAACAGTGAACAGCTGTGCAATTATAACATTTAATTCTTTTGTACCTCTTGTGCAGTAATTATAAGGCTGTCCACATAAATTTTTTTGATGTGTTGGTTACATCAGTGTTAAAATCTACCTTGTCGTTAGGTTAATTAGACCAAGGCCTTCAGACTCAAATAAATATTCAAAGACGTAGCTCAAACATTCAAATGCAACCTGACTGAACTCGGAGTCTCAGAATGTGTCTGTATTTCCAAACTGCCACCAATGTTGTAGTATAATTTCATGCTGGTGTTTGTTTTATGGTGCGTCTATAGTGCTCATCTCAATCAGTTACCAGGTCTCTGGAATCAACCTTCTAAATATCCCTCCTTTGCACCACCATCCCCCTCCTCCCGCCTTACAACAGTGGTTCCCAACCAGTGGCAACTCGGTCCTCCCCACCCCTCCCCTGAGGACATCTGGCAATGTCTGGTGACATTTGGGGGCTGCTTGCATCTGAATGGCTAGATGCCACATATACTGCTAACCATCCTGCAAGGCACAGCACAGCCCTACAACAAAGACTTATTCAGCCCCAAATAGCATTAGTGCTGAGATTAGAAACCCCAGGATCAGGTCTCAGGATCTTTATCTGCCGACAGGTCTCTCTGCCCCAGCTCACCTCCTCCAGGCCACCCTCTCACCCCCAGGATAACTTTCTGAAATACAAATGTGATCCCGCTGCTTAACACCTTCAGTAATCCCCCACAGGGTAGCACAACTTGCGGCATCTTAGGCTAGTCATGATGTCTCCTCCCCTCCGTGGCTCACCACGTCCTTGGGCTATGCTACAGCCCAGCCAGGGTGAAACATTCGGTGGCCCCTGAGATGCCACACCTGTTCATACTGCTGTGGGAGTATGAACACACCTCACCACAGCACCTCACTGGTGCTCCGTCTGTGAAGACCCATGCTTCTCCCACTTCAGAGATCGCTCCAATAACCTGGGACCTTGATGAATCATAGATTCTGATTCAGCAGGTCTGCTGTGGGGCCTGAGACTGCGTTTCCAAAAGTTCCCAGACAACATCCATGCTCCTGGTTTGTGATCACGCTTTCATCAGCTAGGGCCTAGAGCAGTGGTTCCCAAACTTTAGCGAGCATCAGAATGACCTGGAGGCTCTGATTCCCAGGAGGCTCTGATTCCCAGGACCCACCCCAGGCTTTCCAATCCAGTAGATCAGGGTGGGGCTCACAAACTGCACCTGTAGCAAGTCTGTAGACCACACTTGGGGTCACAGAGCCTTGAACATCTGTCTCTTCCTTCCTACCAGCATCCTTCCTATGTGACTTCAGGCTCATCTCCTGCCTCCTCCTCTGGATTCCTAGATAGCCGTGTTAATGCTGGGACCACCACAGACCTCAAAAAGCATGCTAAGAGCTGAGATAATCCCCCCTACACTCTACTAGACAGTAAGCTTGATGAGGACAAGGACAGCCTCTTCTGTCTCCATGTCTTGCATATGGACAGGGGTACCAATCAGGATGGTTCCTCTTATCCTAGAAAGTTGAGCAAACATCACAAAGGTTTGCTCAACTTTGATTCATAGCCTGAAAAGGAGGTTGCCTTGTTCTCCTCTGCCAGGATCAATGTATCACCAACACTACTGATCCAACTCATAGCCATCCAAAGGACTCTTTGGGCTGCCAAAAATCACCCATCTCTCCCCCTTCACTGATAAATGCTAGTTTCTAAATTTTCTACCTTGTTGTCTTTTTCTTTCTCTGGGGAAAGCATCATGGAAACCACATCATTGTAAAAGTACCTCTCAGTAAAAAGCCAGGGCTTTTCATTTGTCACACAGCTAGAGTCTTACGGAAACTGCTCTCTGAAATCCCTTGCTCATGAAGCTTGAGGAGCTTCATCTGTACACCTTACCTGCCCCCACGGCATCCCCCAGGAAAGGGGACTTCCTTCTTCCTTCTTCCCAAGCCCTGGCCATGTCTCTCTTATTAGTCTTGACTTTCTCTCATTGTAGGCTGGGATTCTTCTATTTGAATATGTTCTTTATGTCAAACACTTTCTCAAAGCCCTTGAGTACAAGGAGCGAGAAGAATATTGTTGGCCAAGTGGAACAGACCACAGTGGGCCAGACCTTCTTGGAAAGAGGTGGCACATGGGTGAAGGTGGGGATAGCAGGCAGCGCGAGGAAGGGAGAGCTGCAGGCTGAGGCCCCCACAAGAACAAAGGCACAGAGACAGAGTGAGGGTGGAGTGTGGGGACAGAAACAAGAGGTAAATTTAGTTAAATGAGATGGCCCAGGTTCTGAAGGAAAGAGGCTCCTGAAATCCAGACTATGGAGCCAGCAGGAGAAGAAGGGCCTTTACAAGTTACAGGACTATTCCTTGAACTAAGCAACTCCTTTTGTTATTTTTTTTTTCCTCTCCAGAAACATTCCAGAAGTAGTTCTGATGTTTGTTCCCTCCCATTTTTGGCCAAGATCTGTCAGAGGATTAAATCGTACGTATACTATTTCTACCTCCCTGAGCATTGGCATGAGATGGCACCGTTGGTTGTCCCTGTTTTCCAATGACTAAAATGATCGTGATGTAAAAGTCATCTTCCCAAAGGTGAAAGTGTTTGCTGCTCACGACTCATACCATGACTGGTACAGAAATTAAAAGACAAATGAGCTCTGCACAACTCATTTTGGAAAGCCACCGCATACCAGTATCTTTGAACCTCAAAGCCTGACTTATACCCTGGGCCGGCACGCAGCCTGCCAGTGAAACTTCTGGGCAGCTTGGTGCACACCCGTGCCACACATGGGGACAGCCCCTCCTTGCTGTGTAAGACACAGACAAGGTCAAGGTCAGTGCCTCGTCAGGAAAGGGAATCTGAGCATCTTTAGTCCAGGGCACTCAACGAGGCTGGAATGGGACCAATTTATTTCACAGAGCCCAACCCATTACCGAAAAACTCTGGCTCAGATATGTATAAACAGTGTTGCCAATATGGAGACACTGTCCCGAATTCCCAGGACCTCCCATCTCCATTTTAAATCCCATACCCCAGCTCTACTCTGAGTCTGGGGTTGTGCTGGGTGTCATCATGATCACTGTCCATGGCATTAAAGGATGGAAAGGTGTGCTGAGAGGGACACTGGACCAAGAGGCAAAGTAACACAGGCTCTACCTTGCACTTGGCCCCTTCCCATGTGACTGTGGCTGCTGTGGGTGCCACACATGGAATGTTCAAACCTGTCTGCATCAGTTCTCCCAACAACTCCATGAGGTATTACTCCATTTCACAGTGAAGGACACTGAGTCTTAAAGAAATCACTTCTCCCAGGCTGCCAGGTGTGTCTGGTGGGTCTAGCTCTCCTTGCAAGGGCTTGGAGGTGATTTGGGCTGCGCATCTGGACTCAGGGCAGCTGTAATAACATACCTACAAGCTGGGTGGCTTAGAAGCACAGAAATGTATCCTCTCCCCCTTCTGGAGGCTGGAAGTCTGAAAGCAAGATGCTGGCAGGGTTCCTCTGAGACTCTGCTCTCTCTGAGAGTGTCTCCGACGTTCCGAGTCAACTCTTAGCTTCTGGTGGTAGCTGGCCATCTTTGTTGTTGCTTGGTTTGTAACTGCAACACTCCAGTCTCTGCCTCCAGCCTCCTCCATGCTGTCTTCCCTGTGTGTCTGTCTTTTCCTTTTATAAGAACACCAGTCATGTTGGATCAGGGCCCAGTCTAATGGCCTCATCTTAACTTTGTAACATCTGCAAAGACCCTATTTCCAAAAAAGGTCACATTCATAGGGACTAGGGGTTAGAACTTCAACATGACTTCTTGTGAACACAATCCAACCCATACGAAGAGGCACTTTTCCTACATTCCTCCATCCTTCATCTCATGAGTTTCATGGGAGCTCAATCCACTAAACATCTCCTGTCTGCTGTGAAAGCTTCTCAGGAGAGGAGACTATCTTCTGACCTACATTCAAAGCCTCTTGGAGATCCAAGAGTTTTAAAACTTCCTGGTTCATCTGCCCACGTGAACTCCCATAAGGCAGCTGTGCAAAGTGCTGACCTGGGTCCCAGAAACAGGATCAACACCAGTTTTCATGAATAGGCTGGACAAAGACTACCAGGACATGGGGAGCAGAGGGGAAATTGACATGAAAGAAGATGCTGGAAGGCTGAGATGCAGGCAGCTCCCCAGGCCCCCAATCATTTCATCATGCCTAGCTGTTACTGAATTGAGACACCTGCCCCTCCTTGCTGAAAGCATCATTGCATTTTCTATGTCAAACATGGGCCAGCAGGACCCAAAGTGACAACTCTTCAACTGAACCACCTTTGAAAAATTGAATTCAAGAGCATCTGTGACCAGGGATTTTCCTGAAACTATTTAAAAGGGAAATTTTTCTTTTATGAAAAAGCAAAAGCAGTGTGTTTTTTTTCTTCTTTCTAAAAAAATCATTGTGCTTTGAGTATAATTTGCATCAGATCACAATTTATTCAGTGCTTTATGGTTTACAGAGCACATTTAAATGCAGCTTCATTTATTCTTCAAAACAACCTGTGGCTTAGTAATAATAACAATAACTAAGTTATCTGGTAATGTCTACGCACTAGGAACTCTTGTCAATGCAACCCTACATGGCAGATGACATTATTGTCTCCTTTCTAAAGAGGTAAAGTCTTTTGCCCAAGGCCGTGGTGCTAGTAATTGATAAATCCGACATTTGAACCCAGCAGCCTGGTTGCAAAGGCCAGGCTCAGAGCCTCTCAATTGTCTGTCCCTTGACTCTTTGCCCCACTTTTGGATGACCAAGTAGGTTCCAGTTCATTGAATGTCTGACCCCCTAAGCACAGTCAGCAGGTGGTAGAGACAAGACCTATGTGTCTTCTATTACATAATCCTTCAGTAAAATCCCTCCCAGTAGGAATGCTTTTCCTGTTCTGTGCTTCTCCTGCCGCATCCTGTTTGGTCTAACGCCTACAGTAGAGTGAAGGTGTCCCCACCATGGGTGGTTTTCCAGCTCCCTGCTACCAGGTGTTTGGCCAGCCCTCCATACCCCGAGCTCACCAGTGCCTACTCCTGCATGCTGTTCTTCTATGGCCTCTCCCCATCAGGATCCCATACCACCCACCACTCTTAGAGGGAGGGGACACCATTTCTTAGTAAACCTTTTATCCTTGTACTTAACACATTGCTTAGAATTAGTAGGGAGGAGGGCACATTCTGCATGGAGCACTGGGTGTTGTGCACAAACAATGAATCATGGAACACTTCATCTAAAACTAATGTTGTAATGTATGGGGATTAACATAAGAATAAAATATATATATATATATATATATATATATATATATATATAAAAAAGAATTAGTAGGGACTCAGTGAAGAAACAAGAGAATAAATAAAGAAAAGGCACTATTTTACTAGAAAAGAAATGTATAGGATACTAAGCTACTACCATAGGGCAATCAAGTTTTTTGTTCTTTTTTATTTTGTGCTGGTCAGAATTCACAGTGCCTGTGCACTGTTTTTTATTGTAACAGTGGTAAGTCAAGAGAGTCCCCTCTTAATAATCTCTTCTTGTTATTTAATTTCCATATGCATAAACCCGCATATGGATCATATCACATAAAGGCATACAGACTATCCTAGCCTATGTTAATTACCTTTAGTTCATCATTCTTTTCTTTTTTTTTCTTTTTCCTCGTTCCTTCTTCCCCATGACCTACTCCTTCCAATGACATCGGTCCCTGTCCCTGCCACCAAGGTGAGCCCGGGTGTATTCTTTCCTGGTTTTCTCTGCTCTCATTTCATCTTACAGAGATGCATCTAACACATCCACATGCATATGAAACAGACCCATTCCCAGCCCTGGAGTGCTGCCTGGGACTCAAATGTGAGATAGCTACACATGGAAACTTTAGTCTCCCTAGTTTTCTTTTGTTGTAATGCCCCAGTTTCATGAAATAATTTTAGGGAGTTTGAACTTGAATAGCTATTCTATTATGTAATGAATAACATTCACCTGCAATTACAATTGCTCACTGGATCAAGCCCGCTAGCTTGACTACTGGTAGTCATAGAGCAATGGCTCTATTGGAAATATATTTTATATTCATCCCTGAGCAGGTGATTAGCTGTGCTGGCCAACAAGATAACTGGGTAGAACATTGTGTGCCTGGAAATCCGGAAATCTGAAGAAGGTACATGGATTGGATTTGGGATTGTTCCAGAAACTAAAATGCCATAGGAGCAGATACCTGACTCCTGTTTGCCCAGCCCTAGAAATTATCCTTGGAATAACTGTTACCATTGCACAAAATAATAGAAAGAGCTAATGTTTTGTGAGTGTTTACCACATGTTTGGCATAGGTCTTTATGCTTCCCATGGAGGAACCAACTTAGTCTTTACAACAGCCCTAGGAAGCAGGTACTAATATTGGCCCCATTTTACAAATGAGGAAGCAGAGGTACAAAAGATTAAATAATCTGCCTACGGTTATATAGCAAGTAGACAGCAGACTTGGGATTCAAACCCAGAGAGTCTAATTTCAGAACCCAGAACTATGTTAAGAGGCTTCTCATGATTTTCTTTCCTACTAGAACATTCTTTACCCAATTACATGCCTTGAAAATGCTTTCTCATCCTTTAAATTTAAATTTAAGATTACCTTCTTCCCAGTATAGCATTAGAAGTGTTTTCGCTCATGGTGCACAACCCTTTACAGCATTTTCTCCGTAGCACTGTAGTTGCCTATTGATGAGTTGTTTGCCCCCATGAAGCTCCTCTAGCACTGGAATGTATCTTATATTCATCCCTAATATCTAACATGGTGTCTGGCACACAGCAGGGATTCCAGAAATGCGTGTGGAATGAATGAATGAATGAATGAATGAATGAATGAATGAATGAATGATGTATGTTTCAGCATACAACTAGACATCTATAAGGTAAATGAAGTATCAGATTTAGATACAATTTGGCAGAAGTAATGTTAATAAACATCAACAATGTCTTATCTACAACCTTGGAGGCAGATGTGATCAGGAATTCAGAATTTTCCAGATTTTAAGAAAATCAACATATGGTGACCATAGATCACCTAACACTCTCAGTACCTCTGATCAAACACATTTATATTTCAGCAGTGAAATGTATAAATATTCACACTAAGTAGGGTAAAGCTGATGAATTGCCTTATATCGGTTCAGATCTAGTTTTACCACCAAATGAATTTTCTGCAAAGTTAAACAACAACTCAGTTTTTAGCACTCTGGTTTGGAGACTATGAATAAGGGATTGTGGAGTTTATGTAAATTGTAGTTTATGCTACTTTGGATGACCAATCTACTGTACTGTGTCTAGAATGTATGGTTTGGGTTAGTTACTTTGAGCCTTTAAAATAAGCAGATCTTCATGGGCTTATTAATTTGCTTCATCTGTTCATTAATTCATCTGCTTCATTTGTTTATTAATTTAATGAACTCACTTTCCAATTCTAGAGACAAACTCCCATCATTGTTCCTTCAAACTCCCATCCTCAGGATTGCAAGGGTGGGGGATAGCTTTGGAGTACTAGGTGGGACCTTTCACCTAGCACCTTTTCCAGGCTGAAAATATAATTGTTTGGGTCTGTACCCTCTGTGTGTGTGTGTGTTGTGTGTGTGTGTTGTGTGTGTGTGTGTGTGTGTGTCTTACCTCCTTTTCTCACCTAGAAAACTACACTGGTTGTCCAAGAGGTCAAATATGTACATGGGGGGAAACGACCTAGTTTTATAGGAGAGGCCATCCCTGGAGAAGCTTATTACCTAGACTTCTGGGGGGTCCACCATCCCAGAGTTAGTAAGACAGGCTCCGAGACACCAGTTAGGCTCCATGCTGGCTCTTACTGAATCCATTTGCCTTGAGGCTCTCACAACTGCTGGAATGCTCTTGATTCAAAAGACCATTTAATAAATCCTGTAAAGGTTCATGTTACTCTCTACATTCTAGGCTCTGAAAATAGCCTCAACCTGCCATATGATGGCACTAGACTGCTACCCCATAAGAGAGTTTCTTAGAGGGAAAGCAGTGTTTGCCAAGCAGGAGCTGGGAAAAGTTTGGTAGTGAGGACACAGGGAGAGAGCCTCCCTTGAGGGAGGGGTCTGTGGCTTTAGCATGTATTTGCTTGGTCATCAGTCACATCCGAGTCTTTGGTTTTCCAGGCTCATGAATGGGAATGAACGTTGCCAGCTCAAGTGCCTCAAGATTCTTAGAGTTAGTGGTTTAAAAGAGTAGATTTTAAGAAAAGACTTCCATCACAGAATGTGTAAAATGGCACAAATTCAATCTGTAGTGCTGAGTTCATTGGACCAAAAATGCAGTCTCCTTCTTTTCTGGGCATCTCAACATCAATATCCTATGTTCTCTAAAATGTTGATGTGATTATTTCACTTCCCCATATGGGCCAGATTAATATCAGAGAGAAAATAGTTCTAATTAGGTGGAGAGCAGAGATTGGCAAAGTTTGCCTGGCACTCTTCCATACCATGGAGGCGCTTCATTTTATTTTTAGAATGGACTTCTATCACATATACTCAACATAGCTGTATCTGAAATGTCTCTGTTTGTTTTCACAAACACAGTTTCTTTTTTTTCTTAGCTCACCAGCTGTTTTGTTTTCTTTTTTCTAGAGCTATAGAAAATTCTGTGCCATTCAAAGATGGAGATTCAGACAAATACAGCATTTTCCCAGTAAGTATTGTTAAGAGTAACCAGATGTTCACTAAATATTGCATTGCTTTCTACAAATATCTTTCCTTTAGTGACACAAGACTCACTAAAGATTAATACATTCCATTTGAATGTATTAATAATTTGATAATACACCATTCCATGATTTTTATGGACTTTTTGGCATCTTAATAATACACGAACCATCAGAGTGGGTCTTTAGGCCGAGACTGTTTTTGTTTCCTGAAGCCATTCCCAGCTGGGTATTTCAGTTATCTGAAGGTGTTGAGAATTATTTTGGAAATTCTTAAACCTACTTTTAGAGTGTGTGTGTTGTGTTTACGTGTATGCACATGTTTGATTTAGAGCAGTAAGATGTCAGGATGTTCTCTGCAAAATCAAACAAGCAAGTGGCAGATGTAACTCCCCAAAGTTGGTGGGATCTCAGTTATTCAACCTGGGAATGGGGGAAATAAAAACATTGTTTGATATTATCATGACTCTTGATTCTTTCAAATCTAGGATCAAGACAGTTCAATCATATAATAAATCCACATAACTAGCCAGTTTTGCTAGAGACTTTTAAGTTATCCAGTACAATGAGTAATCATTTGACCAAATAAACCAATTGTTTTGGAGGCTAAGAAGATTGATGACTAATAAAGTTCAGAGAGTTCAGGAACATTTGTGGAAGTGTATACACACACACACACACACACACACATACGTACAGTATGCATGCACATGGCCACACCTGTGAGTGCACCCATGCCCACATACCTACACACTCACATGCACACACACTACCACCTGGCATTGGCTCTGGGACTCTATTACATTTTACCTCACACTGCATGACTCAGCATATTAATCGTAAATTTCTTAGTAATCTCTAGCGTTCCTGGATTGTATTGGAATTAAGAATTACGCATGTCAGTACCCCGGGACAGCTCTGACTGCCCTTCCTTGTGGATAACAAGGGGCGGAAATGAACCTTCCTGTGTGTGCTCTTCAATTCCAGACGCTGAGGGGCTACACCTGGCGAGGGAGAGACTGCAATGACAGCAACAAGATGGCATACCCGGGCAGAAGGTACGTCTCTGCTCATCGCTGACTTGGGCAATTACCTTCTAAAAAGCAGGTAGGAGGCATCATTCCAACCCCAGCCTAGGGGATTGGTACTTAAAGAGAGAAGGGACCTCCGTGTCCCCGCTGAAGCAAAGCTCAGTGAAGAAAGAACAGCATTCATTCATCATTTGTCCAGGAAACGCTCATTGAGCACTTGCTCATTGCCAAGCACTCTGCCTCGTGTCGGTGGTTAACAAAATGGAAGTGGGGCCTCCCCTTGCGGAGCTTCCAGTCTAGTGAGAGGAACACATGAGTCCCCAGGTTATGGTGGACTTGTGTCCAGCCTCCTGCACGAGGCCTACATGCAAGACTGAGTGAGGAGTGAGCATGGGGCTCCCGTGAGTAGACCACATGTCATATTTTAGTCCCGGGCTGATGTTCAGCCAGCCACATCTCGGACTTCAGAAAATGGATATGCCAACCTTCATCTTAGCCGTGACTGCAGGGCCGCAGCATTCAGAATACCAGATGTTTGGGAGTGTAGAGCGTAATTGTAATGGCCTCACCTATCTAAATAAAGTGGGCTACAGATTCATTCACTCTGCTCACCAGCACCATTCCACAATACAGTCCTTGAATAGAGGCCACTGGAATTAGTCCATGGTGCCCAGAAAATATCCAAAACTGAGATAATGGCAGAGGCCAGTGGAGGCTTCCGTGTGCCATTGACAGTCATGAGTGGCACTCCTCCTTGAAGAACATGCTGTCCATCAATGACACTTCATACAGCACTTGTTCATTCATTCATTCATTCAGCTAACATTCACGGGGCAAGAAGTATATGCTAAAAACCAATGTTGGTGTTTTCTTCTTAGGCCAGACAACTGGGATATACACGAGGATTCAAACTGTAATGGCATTTGGGTAAGCAACTAGATTCAAATCTAGCCCCGTTCTCTGACGTTCTGCCCTCCTTAAAAGCCTATTTGCTTTAGTCAGTCCTATGGAAGAAGATGACAGATGAAAGCACCCTTTTTCTGCAAATTGAAGAGGGGTAAAGACTCTGATCTCACATGATAGATGGTAGGGATGTAATGAGAGTTGAGGGTCTGTTAGTCACAGCCCCTTGAAGTCACCTGCATCTAACCCCTTTATTCTGTGGTGAATCAGGCGAAATTAAATGAAGAGTGCTGTTAGCGAAGTTTTACAGCGACCCAGACAGCTGTTGGAGCAAACCTCTTGCTCCCACCTCTTCACGGCAGCCATTTTCTTTCTATTCCATAAAGCTAGTCAGGCAGGGTGGAAATTACCCTGTAGTTACCCCTTTATCTACATCTCAAGGCATTTAATGCTGGAGCTCCAGCTCTCCATGAACAACAGGTTTGCAGCTTTCAGGAAGAGAAAGGGACTAAAGCCCAACCAAACACAACAATGGTAGCAGACCCACGTTTTGTGGGGTCTTGAGCTAATATATGATTTGAGGGTCCTCCTGAAGAAAAAGAATACCAAATTACAAATACAAAATCAAGTATGAAAGTAAATAGTTAATTAGAACAATGGAAGAAATCCCAACAAATTCCTGGAGTCTTGGAAATTCAGGTCCCTTGGAAATTGTAGGATGTGCAGCAGCATCCCTGGCCTCTACCCACTTGATGCCAGTCACCCCCCCTCCCCCTGTTGTCACAACCAAAAATGTCTCTAGACTTTGCCAAATGTCCCTTGGGGTAGGGGTGGGGGGAAATGAGTCCTGTTGAGAATCGCTGGTCTGGAAGCATCAGTCCTTAGGGAGTGGAGATGTGAGGGCTCTTATAGCTCCCCAGCTCAGAGACTGAGGAACACACTCTGACCTTGTGTCCCTGTAACTCAGTGGGCCCACAGCGCCCCCTCACGGGGACACTGCCAGCACTCCAGACACTGCCGGGCATTCTCTGGACCAGATGGTTGGGCTTCTGGATCTCCCCTTATTCCTGCCCCAGCTCCGTAAAGCCCAACTCACTTACACAAAGTGTTGCTATGTTGAATTAAGGGCTCAAAAGACTTTAATGGGTTTTATCCACTGACTTGCCTTTGTACTTTTAAAGCCATTAGGGAAAGCCTCAGTGTATGTGTCTCATACATTTAAAAACAAACCGCTAATCTCCATCATTTCTCTTTTAAAGGGTGTTGATCCAAAAGATGGAATTCCGTATGAGAAGAAGTTCTGTGAAGGTATGAATTATAGAGTTAATGTGCTTATCACAATAGGGACCCTCTTTTCTAGTCTGAGTCAGATTGAAGAGAACAGACCATCCAAGTGAGGAAGTGCCTGATGCTACAGCTTAAAGTTGACCAATTTCCATTTATTTTCATGAAAAATCAGAAAAAGGCATGAAAAAGCCTGTAGAAAATGGAGGCAGAACCTAGAAAAAGCAACACTGAATTTGTCTTACTGCCTCCTTTATGTGGGGATTGGAAACTTGATTGAGAATGCCAGAAAAGGCAGCAGGGGAGAGCGCAAGGTAATGGAAACCTAGCACTACTCCAAATAGGAAAACAAATAGAGGTGCTCTTGTTTCCTCTTTCTCCATGTCCTTCTCAATACCCGACAAGGTCAGACATCTGGGCTTGTCCTGACTGAGTCCCTGCGGCAGGCAACTGAGCTAAAGATTCACATCTGGGTGACTTGAGGGAGACCTCCAAGTTATAGCCATTGGGAGTTCCCAAAAATAGCTGAGCAAAAGCTCTGTATTCTAAATGCCCAAACACCACAGACATCTGAGCTGCCACAACTGTTAGGAGAAACCTATGATCACCCACATACTACTGAAAATATGTGCCTGGTGATACCCAAAGGGTCTCAGGCAAGACCCTCTGGTAGCATCACTTTTTACGTTTAGGCAGTATTTTCCCTAACTCTGAAAAGCATTTCATTCATTCATTCATTCATTCATTTGACAGATATTTCCTAAATGCCTATTCCTATTATGCACCAAGGGATATACTTGGCTCTGAGTTGTCCTGGGCAGATGTGATACAGTCCATGCCTTCAATCAACTTAGTCTAATTGTCTTTAAACTCTCAGAGGGGTAGGAGGGGAGTAGAAAATGCACAGATCCAGTGCAGTGCATAGGTATGCAGTTTAGAAATGCTTGTTGGATGAATAAGAGAATGAATGAAAAAATGACTGATAAATAAATAAATAAACAAACTCAGATCTAGTGAAAAGATCCTGGTATGAGGATCTAGGATCATCATGGGAAGCCTCTTGGACTTGCCCCATCCCAACCCTTCCTGGATGTCCTGGGCCTTCTCCATCCCCATGTGTGTGGCCAAGTGCTAACTGTCACAGAGGCCCAGGATAGGGAGCCACTGAAATGAGGCTAGACCGTCCTCCAGCATGACTTGGGGGACTTAAGGCTAGGGGAAAGAGGTGCCCCTCTCTGTCTCTGGGAGGCATCAGTTGATTCTTCCAGGATCTTAAGGGATTTAGAAGAGTACATGCATCACCCATGGATAAATGAATTGTGTAGTTGGGCCTCAGAGGCAGATTAAGTGATTCCTAACCTCCAGATAGGGCTTCGGAGAGACCTTCATGTTCATCTCCCATTAATCAGCCAAAATTGTCCTCCCAGGGCTTTTGTGTGTATGGATTAAGGGCTTTAAAAGACCATAACATCTTTGAAAAGTCAAAATTGCTCCATGAGATCACAAATTCTTAAAGTGAATTATAACAGAATTCAAGAGAGTGATTTCCAAAACCAAAACTTAGGGCATATTTCTGAGTTCAGAAAAAGTTTTGATTCATTGATTCATCCATCATTCACTCATGAGGTTGCACGGCAGTTTGTTTTATGCTGAGCGAGGAAACACACCTGCATCTGTACAGCTTAGCTAGCAGTTTCGATGGCCTAGAAATCTCATTCAGCTACTATATGTGATCTCCCTCACTCCCCAGCACTTGAAAAGTGGCAATGTATCACTGTTATGATGCTCTGTGCATGGAATACACACCAGGGTATCTACTCTCCTAACCACCCAATCTGGAGGCTCCAACTACTTGAGTGTATAAATAATGCAAATAAATTGTGCCACCCAGGTTCACAGCCCAGGGGAATCATTTTGCTGGGAGACTCAGCTGGGGCTCATTTTCACATCTCTCCCGAATGGATCACAGCTTCACAGATGTCTTTGGTAAGTAATTTTGGCAGTAATTATCCCGGATGTGCCGGCCTTTGTGTTTGGTCCCCCTTGCTCTCTCTAAATGCGGTGCCGACTCCAAACAGGTGCACATTTCCCTCCTCAGCAAAATCTGTTATAAGAGGCACATCCACAGCCATTTCAGCTCAATTCATTTCAAACAATGTGATAAGAAATGTGAGGGCATTGTGGCAACAGGCTCATCACAAGAACCATCCTGTCCATTAGAGAAGGGGGATAGTGCCCCTGCCAGGTGGAAAGGAGACTTGGACACAATGGGGAAGCTTGTCATATGGCCACCTCGGGCGTGGTTCCCTTCTCCCTCTCCAAGAACCCTGAAACTCTGACCCAGAGAAATCAGGAATTATACCAGAATTATAAATTCTTCCTTGATCCCTTCTTCTCAGACTAGAGAAATTGAACATATACCTAAACACTCCAACTGAACCTATCCCAAGTCCCAAAACTGAACAGATATAGACTTCCCTTTGTAAAGATGAGCAAGCAGGGAAACATCTGGACATATAAAAAATGCTCATGATCTCAAAAGAAAAGAACTTTTTTGAAAAAAAAAAAAAAAAGCTTGCTTAGGAGACAGAGGGCATTTTGTAAAATATTAAATTCAGGTTCTCAACAATAGTTGACAGGAGGTTGTACCCATGAAAAAGGAGCAATCTGACATCGGGAAAGACTACTTTGGGGAGAAAGAACAATAATCAATGATGTGAAAATCCAGTGGAAACACTGACAAGCAAGTTAGCAATGCAAAAAAGAAGATGAGCAAAGCAGTCCTCCAGCTGGGGAGATTCTGGAACTCAGAGAAGAGGCATGCAGGATGGATTCTGGAGATTGAATAGAAAACCCAGAAAAGACAACACATTAGGCAGAGAGGAAGTGGTGACCAAATCAACAATAAAAGATAATTCTCTTGAGTTGAGGGAATCCTTGTCTTCAATCCCAAACCCGCCCTGAGCACCAGGTCCAAGTGTAAAATAGACTCTGTTTACCATGTCTTCCTTTTTTTTTTTTTTTAATTCCAAATATAGAGAAAAATCTTGCAGTCATTCTGCCTAACAACAACAAAAAAACCCCAGCATACTAACTAGGAAGAAAAACCCTTTTGGCATCAGACTTACCTCTCAATGCTAACTTTCAGAAAATAGTTGAATGGCCTCTACAGGATTTTGAGGATTGTGTGTCAAAAGTGCTTAGACTGCCAAGATATTTTTGTTCTTACATGAGGGCCCCAGAGACTTATTCTCAGTTTTTCAAAGATTCAGAAAACATAACAGACTTATGCCCTCCTCATAAAGATTATTTTAAGAAGTATTCTAGATTACTATTCCAAATATTCAAATATTACTAGATTTCATTATATAACATTTTCAAATGTATACAATGTCAAAAAATCCATAAAGTTAAAAGACAAATGAAAAAAGAGAACAATATTTATAACATATAAGGCAATATTTAAATCCCCTAATAACAGCTCCTGCATGTCAATAATAATTTTTTTAATTTAATAAAGAACATAACTAATATAAACACAGTTTCATCTTTAATAGTAATCGAAGAAATACAAATTAAAACAACAATGGAATATCATTTATCATCTGTCAAACAGATAAAGTTTAAAAAGTGATAAAGGCCTACTTTCAGCAAAAATATGGACATGTTCTTTCACCACCAAGAGTGTTTAACTTGTTAGAACTTCTCTAAAAGTCAATTTGACAATATATATAAAGTGGCACGAAAATGTTTGTGGTTTTAATAATTCTGCATCTGGAAGTTTACCTCTAAAACTGATCAGTCATTTGCTCAAGATTCTATGTACATGAATATTCATCAAAGAGTTACTTATAAGAGCAAAAATTAGAAAAGAAATTAAAAATTTAAAAAACCAGGGATTAGGGCGCCTGGGTGGCTCAGTTGGTTAAGCGACTGCCTTCAGCTCAGGTCATGATCCTGGAGTCCCGGGATCGAGTCCCGCATTGGGCTCCCTGCTCGGCAGGGAGTCTGCTTCTCCCTCTGACCCTCCTCCCTCTCATGCTCTCTGTCTCTCATTCTCTCTCTCTCAAATAAATAAATAAAATCTTTAAAAAAAAAAAAAAAACAGGGATTAGACATGTAAAAATATATTATATCCATAAAATGAAATGTTATGCTACCACTAATACACATGTTGTAGACATATTTCTTAGCAAGAAATATATTAATAATAACTTGTTAGGGGGCAAAAACAGTTTATAAAATAATATGTATGAACCAGGTTTGTGAATATATAAGTGCATCTGTGTGTGCAAGCAAAGAAAATAATAGGAAGGTTATGGATCAGTACGTTAACACTGGTATGTTTGGATTGTAGAACACTGGGTAACATTTTCTCTTATTTTTCTTCAGTGAATTTGTACTATGTATGTACCAAATATTGTAATCCAAGATTTAGGGGGTCTTTTTGTTTTGTTTTGAGCAAATAGCTAAAAAACACCAAAGCACTGCTTTCCTTAATATTTATAAAAACCCTCCGAGGTAAGTGTTATTGCAACATAGCTTCACTGTACAGACAGATACCCAGAGAAGTTGAGTAGACTGCCTAAGGTCACACAGCTAACAAGTGAAAGAATCACTTCCTTTCATTGTCATCTTGAACAAGCCACCTACCCAGAAACTCTGTAAATGATGGTAGGAACAATCTCAGGCAAGGCCATGTGTTTCATGATCTAAGGGCTGTGAACATGCTTTGGACCCTATGTTGAATTCAAACCAGACAAAAAGTAGATTGACACACAGCTCATGCAGTGCAGTGGTGGCAGCTAGCCAGGCTGGTCCATGTCCTTGTGCTTGTCCTTCTTATCCCACACCTGGGCCTCTAGAGGCTGAGGTGAAGGGTGTCACTTTAGGTTTCTCCCAGAGAGAATGGCCTCTCACAAACTCTCACCAGAGCACCAGAGCAGCTCACTCGGCAGGGTGCTAAATCTCTGAGAAAGAGAAAGATCCACTGAGAAACTAGCCCAGCAGCTGGTCCCATCCTGAAGTCCTGACAGTTGGAATTTGAATTGTAACATTTTTTAATCTGCTATTTGCAACAACAAATTAAGTGAGATACTGCAGCTCGGCATTGTTGGTTTGGGTTTGGGTTACAGGTATCCCCTGGTTTCTGAAAGTTTGTTTTAATGCCACTTTGCTTTTACAGAAGACCTATATTCATCCCCTTTTCTTGCCAACTAAAAGAAATCTAAAGAAGATGTTCACTTTTACAAAAAAAAAGCTGTTACCAGACTAATGTAGGTCTTTCAGAAAAGCAAAGTGGCCTAATTCGAACTTTCAGAACACTCTGTGTTTAGATAGCCAGGGAAACCTGTATTTCCCACCCCACCCCCCTGTCACTTTTTGGCAGTGAACTGTAGTCCGGAGAAATGACCACAAGAATGGCAATAACATAGAGTTGATGTGGAAGCCAAATTGGGCATAATGGTAGTTGGGATTCATGAATCTCACCAACATGTTAATAATGCTGTTGGTGGTAGGGACATCACCACAGTTTTAGTGTCATTTTGTCACCTATTTCAAGCCTTTGATGTTCTAGTGTTCTTAAAAGGTCTCCCCAGGTTAACATGCTTCTCCAAGCTACAAATCAATCCAGTCACTCCAAGCCTGGACCACTTCTGTGTTATACCATTTATAAGATGGAAGATGAAACAAGAATAAAAGAGAAATATTTTGCCTAGAAAGTTAGCATTGAAAATGAAGATTTATCACAAAGTTATTATCAAAATAATGCTGTACAAACCACCCCAAGTCTCAGTGATGTAAAACAATCCCCATTTCTTCTCACTCACACATCTGTGGGCTGTCTAGGATCAGCTATTTAGGCTGGACTCTGTTGGTCTTGGCTCCAAGCTAAAGGTTGGGTCTAGGTCTGTTCAATGTGTCTCATTTTTCTTGGTTGGGCAATCTATCCAAAAAGTATTCCTTTCATGGTAATGGTGGAAGTGCAAGAGGACAAGGCCCCCCCCCCAACAAATACATTTGCTGCATCATGTCCACCATCAATGCATTGGCCAAAGCAAGTCACACGGCCATGCCCAAGATCAATGGGGAAGCAAGTATATCTGCCCAAAGTGAGAGAGGGAAGAAAGTAAATATTTGCAGTACTGTTTTTATCTAATTATAAATGTTAAATATTCAATGGAGAAAAATAAGCAATACAGAAATTATTAAGAAATCATTAAAATTCTCCTAAATCCTACCACCCAAGGAGAATCATTTTAACATTTTGGAGTATCAGATTAGTTTTAAAATATTAATATTCTTCTTATTGAGGGAAAAAAAGATATGAAGTCAATGTTAGAACCAATTTTGAGAGGTAAAAAAAAAATCCCCATCATCTTGAACTTTTCTCTGTGTTTTTCCACTCTTTCCCAGAACTCCACCCCCACTATGCATAACACACACACATACACATTATTTAGTCACAAGAGTAGCAAGTATGCAATAGGCCATTCTCCTTTTTTTCAATTGGCACTAATTATAGTCATTTTTCCATATTGCTACTTAGTCTTTATATTCATTATATTTGTCAGTGTTCTATAGTATCCTTTTCAGTATATAATATAAGCCATAATCTACTAAACCATCTGGCCATGACTGGATATTAAGCTGATTCATTTCTGGGCTACTATGGATCATACTCCTTAAAAAAAAAAATTCTCATTTTCAAACATATTACCTATAGAATCTCTTCATTTGCACAGGGAGTCAGCCTATATATGATTACAATGCTTAGCAGACATCCATGACGGATGTTGAGCTCTGATGTCTCATGTCTTGACTGTTTGGCTTTTAATGCTTGTGGCAAGTAAACAAAATATCGCCAAGTACTAACCTGGGACCTATGGTGTACGAAGCCCTGTGATAGGAGTGAATGACGCAGGGGTAAAGGGAATGGAAGGAGCCAGGTCTTCAGAAGGCTTCAGGCCTTATGGGGAAATGGG